AGAGCATCTTTTAGTAAAACACTTCTCGATCTGCCGTTTCGATCTTGAATAAAATCTTTGACATCACCGATTTCTTGTACATTTCCTTGTTGCCGCTGGCCATCTGCCAACTCAATGTAATTGTTTTGTGGATCAAAGGACTCTTCAAATCTCACAAATTTTGGTTCATTTATTTCTGTGTAGTGCAACCACTGTCAATCATGATCAAACTTTCATCTGCTTCTATGCCTGATACATTTTGTTTTCCAATGTCACATGACTCTGAGGTCCCCTCGACGGGTCGTAACCTTGTGTGTTATATGGAAAGAATATTAAAAGTTTTGTGGCTCACATGTATTATTAGCAGAATTTACTGAGTTATTACTCCTCCTGGGGTTCTTTGTTCTACATTCACTAGTATTGTGAGTTCTTGAATTATGTAATTCACACCATTTCTTGACATTTTGAGGCTTATTCAGGTTGTTTCCTTTTATATTCACCTCCTTTGTAGCATTTTAATGCAAAATGGCCTGGTTCACCACACTTGAAGCATCTCTTCTGTTTAAATGTATTATTACCTTGGGCAGCCATTACTCTCTCTGTATCAGAATTTCCTTTGAGAGTATCTTCATAAGTTAATATAGCTGTCTTTAACCCACAATCATATGGAGGGTTGCGTTGATTAGCTACATCAATAAAACTCTTGTATCTCTGTGGAAGTCCTTTTAGTGTGATTACCACTAAGATACGATCACTGATGCTCTCACCTGCTTCTCTGAGTGCTGCTACTGTCTCCTCAAGAAATGAGAGATATTCCATAGCACTGCCGCCATTCTCTAGTCTTTTGGTGAAGAATGACATTAATAAAGCATACAGCCTCTGGTCTGATTCCCTTAGGTAATAATTTCGTAGTACTGCCAAAGCCTTCACGCCATCTCCTTTCGCTTCACGTTTTATCATGCCAAGTGACGTTCTGTCAAGACAACCAGTTAAATGACTGTTGATTGTCCTTTTGGCACGATCCAGATTATAACTTTCTGGACGTTCTGAAGCATACTTATCGAGCGCGAGATGTAGTTCCAAAATGTCCAACGCGCCGAGGAAGTGCTCTTCCCACAAATCATATTTGTTTGCATCACCATCAAACTGCTTAAATCTGGGCCCATAACCTGTTGGCGTAGTGGGAGAACTCATCTTCCCTGCGTGTATTAAGCAAGTTTGACGTGTCAATGCATATATGATTTTCTGTGGGGATCAGTAAAACAGAGTTGATGTGCTTAACTCTATGTATTCAGGAGAATCTACGTGGCACTACGTAGGGTCGTTTACATTACACGAGTATAAAAATTTGCCGTAAGATGGCGTACATACAAGAAAATATACTTTTATATGGGTAACTTAACAAAATATAACTACCTTAGTTTAGATAATGAGGTATATCAGACACATATGAGGTATACTTATAGTAATAAACATCTTTAATTACTCTAACATTGTTCCTATACAAATGTACTGATTCCTTCAAGTTTTATTTTCATGTATTTTCTGGCATTCTGCTACCAGGTTGTCTACTTGGCTTCAAGAGCCTTAATTCAAGCTATTGCTTAATTTTCCTCGTCTTGGTTGTTACTCATTAAACGCGCATAGAGCTGTACTCTTGGCAGTTGTCTTGAGGCACGAAACTCTTAACCATGTAGGATTTGTGGTTGCTTCTTGCCTCCCTTACCTTTGCTCTTATGTCCTGGTTCACAAAACTTCACTGTTTTTAGATTTTTAACTTATTTTATAAATGTTATAACCCAATTTTTCCTTTCAACATGAACTATGCACATTTACATAACCCATGGCTATCAAACTAGACCACCAATCTGATCCATATTTAACGTCTGGCAAGAGACTACACTGATTTGATGTACTCTGCACTATGCACTGTCTGTTAGAGAGACAAAGACTGTGTAGGTTATGGGCCTGACCATAGTTCCATTTTTATATTTGGCATTGGGTTTTAGTATTAAATATTTTTAATAGATTTCAGGAATGTCAGGAGTTTAGCTGCTGAGTTTGTTGCAGTGTCTTGGGTTTTGTTTTTCATAGTATGTTATATAGTATAATTTTTTTTTTTTGTAGCTTTTTGTGGGAAATGTTACACATGGTTATTTTCTGATTATTTTTTGAATGTTATTTTTATTCAAAATACATATTTTTATCAAGAGGCCTTGATTCCCAGTATGGCATCACTGATCTTAAATATATAATTATTAGAGATATGTATATTTTTCTTTAACATGTTTTATTTATTGTGGTATTTGCATGTTATTGTATTATTCTGTTCTGTACTTTGGTTGGAGGGTTAACATAAATTGTTATAAGTGTTAAATTAACTTTGGATCTAAAACATTCTATATACAGATAAATTATATATTTCTTGTAAGACACTCCATATTTAATAGAAAATGCAAAATGCAATGGGGTGTGGGCAACATTATATAGTTAGTTAAATATCCTAATACATTCTAAGTTACAAAACCAAGTAAGACTGTATAAATGATTCATGTGCATAAGTGTTCAGATTAAGATGCAGGAATTGATGTGGTATGTGATTCTCATGATTTGAGGATTTTTGTTCAAAACATGGTTTTTAATTAAGGCAGAACTTTGCTCCTTGGCCATTTACAACAGTTTTTTTTTTCCAAAACTTGGAAGGGTATTATCTTTAACACATTTTTGAATGAACATTAACAATTAATCTTATATTCTCAAACAAGACAATGATTAAAACTGTCATTATTGCCAATTTATATCAAAAAGTTTAATTGTTAAATTGTCAGTTCTGGATATTTTTATTGGAAGACTTGGAAAAATATTGACAAATCTTTTTAAAATCTTTATTTAAAATGCTTTAATATTAGGTTATTGTTTAGTAACCAGTTGACAATTTGGAACACTACCTGTGCACTGCGTGTGAAAGAAATGACAATTTTTTTTTTTTTAGATGAGGTGTGCACGTAATGCTTGAATATTTGAATTGAACAATGACAAGGCCAATGATTTGAGTTATTTCCAAAAATCAGTTTACTGTAATTTCTTAAATAGGCACAATTTCATCAAATAAATGCACACATGAAGACAAATAAACAACAATGATTAAAAAATATAGTATTGAGAAAGTCTGGGCAAGCATTCTAATTTCTTATTCAACCTGTATATAAATATTATTTCTAACTAAAGTGTAGTTTATATTTTTTTAGGGAAAATAAGGTATCTAAAAAAAATAATTTTGAATTGTGCTAATGATGACAGCTGAATTGTAATGGTAAAGCAGATAAGTGATAATGTTTTTTTATTTGTAATAGGAATACTGATGATGACAGACTGGCAATAATGGTAATAGTGCTGATATTGGAAGCAAAGTTATGAGTTTAATGATGACAAAGGTGGTGGTATTGGTTAGGGTGGTGGTGGTGGTATTGGTGTTGGTATTGGTGATAGAAAAACTGTTGTAAATGGCAGAGAAGCAAAATTCATCTTCATTTGAGAAAAATATTGAATGCAAACCTGTTTTGATTAATCTAAAAGTAACCAAATGACTCTGAGATGATAAAATAAAAAATCTTAATAAGATCTAGAATAAAGAGGTTGGCCAACCTTTTTATACCAAGACTCCTTTGGCCCCAATTTTCTTTTGGCTATATTTATGTAGTGTAATATCCAAAAGTGCTGATTTAAGAAATCATATTGTATAGTCCTGTAGTATCCAGATTTTTGTAAGTACCTAAAAATTTGTCTGAGAAGTGCATTGCACAAAGGAGCATAATTCAAGGTTTGTCGCAGTCACCAGGGGAATGAGCGCCCGGGTACACCTATGTGGAATTTTGCTTGTTGAAATTGTGTGTATGGCATTTGATTATGGACATTGTGCATAGATATGAGTTTGAGAATGTTCAAGGAACATTTGTTCTCTCTCTCTCTCTCTCTCTCTCTCTCTCTCTCTCTCTCTCTCTCTTCTCTCTCTCTCTCTCTCTCTCTCTCTCTCTCTCTCTTCTGTATAAAAACTCAAAATCAGTATTCAAAAATAATCTCCATGTTCATGGGTTTTCATAGGGCTTGTTAAAACCAAGCTATGTAGACATGTATGTATATATAATGCATTTCCATTGTAAAATCTAAACAGTCCAGCTTCTCCAGTGAAAAAAGCACAGGACACAAGGTGGGCCTCTAGCAGTGCATTTTAGTTTTGTTTATAGGTATGTATGGCCACTGTTTAAACAAAGAGCACAAGGTGTTGCTGAAACTGTGAAAGACTCCAAAATGTTGGATAAAAAAATTGTTGCTTGACTAAACACAATTGAAGTGTTGATGATTCACAGCAATAATTTTCACAGCAGCATCAGTTTAGCATTCAATATTGCTCTCCTATTATTGTAAGCATTTGAATCATTGTGACGTACCCATATTTTTTAATAATTATTATTGAAATTACGAAGTGTTCCACAGTCAGAAAATAATAAGTATTATTAAAGTTATCTTTTCTTAGAAATGTGTGCTGGTACCTGATGGCATACTGAAATATATATATTTTACATGATTTGTTAAGGATACAGTCTAGTAACAGATTAGATTTTTTATTCAGATCTCCAAGATATGGATGAATTTTTTTTTAAGGAAAATATATACTTTTAGATTTTTCACATTTATTTTAATTTTTGCTCTTTTGTTGCCTGTATTAACTAATGAGAATGGGTCTGTTTTGCTTTGAACCATCCACCACAAACATGGACAATGTTCGAGATGTGTGCACATACTAGTCCCCGCAAACCAGTTCCAGGGGGATGTTAAGTGATGTGGCAAACCCTTGCAAATCACTTTTGTGAAGATTCGCTTAAGGTACTCTTGAATAAATTTTTTTTTTTTATTGAGATAGTGTAATTGAAAATGATGTGATTGAGAATCCAATATTTGTAATTGTAATGTAATGATCACAATGGACCACTATATCAATGAATTTCCATCTGTACAGGGACGGAGACCTGAAAGATGCATCAACACACAACTGCAGAGCAACCCAAGAGATGGATCATTTTCTTTTGCATAGGTAAAGTGGCCAAGGAATACATATCTATGCATATATATAATAGATATTTATACATTATATATCTTTAGAACACTAATCCATGTTGTTGCAGCATAATATAAAATGTATGGAAGGAGCAAGAATATATTTACAGAAGTAAAATTGATTATCAGATAAAATGTTGAGTTATAATCTATGAACTTGGGAATTATCATGGACCAATTTTATTAATATATTAAGTTATATAAAAACAACTAGACTAAGGTGTGGTTTTATTGTAGAAGTGCAGATTATTCTAGCTAATTGAAGACAAGTATTAAAGCAGATATTTCTCCTAGTTGTTAGCCAAAGTTGACTAACCTGGATGGGGCTGAAGGTTTGTGAACTTATGTGGACTGGGTTTCTTCTGTTTCTGTAGTATTAATCGCTACTCCTATACAACAACATATATTTTGTTATTGAATGAAGCTAAGTCCTTGTATGGTATCTTTTTATTGATATGAATATAACTGATACAGTGGGTATTTATAACATCAAATTTTGAAGTGAAGAATTAATGAAATATATATTTTTTAGACTAGTAGGGGAAGTGGAGAGCAGCAAGAGGGACATATGAATTTCTATTGATAATGTAAGTATTACAGATAGATTTTCTGAATCCTGGAAAAGTGGTGCATGATCTCTAAATTGTATAAGCTGTTATTTATAAGTAAATTGTATCTCTACCAGGCAGTGAGAATTGTATGATGTAAAGGAATTCAAGGAGTAAGAATGATAGAATTACACATTGTGTAATATAGGTAAGTAAAAACTTCAATTTTCTTAATTATTGTTGTTGAATGCTAAGAAATGTCATGAAGCAAGTGAAAAATGAGTCATTGTATTTGGATTACATAAGATTGTTTTAAAAATGTCTTGCAGATGAGGTTGGTAGAGACAACTGAGGTTGAAGGTGGTGCTAATGCATGGAAAGTAAATAATCTGTAAGGCTGTTTGCAAAGGACTGAGTTGAGTTCTGCAAAGGTAGCAGGTTTGTATTGTGTATTTTTGTAACTTTGGTTTATGAAGTTCATAATTTGGTGTATGATAGATAAATTGAATGATAGAATAAAAAAACTAAGAAAGTGAGCACTATTTTTTTTTATCTATTATCATTCTATCAAAACGGACAGATGCATGGAGACCCACATGAAATAAAATCAGGGCTGTCCGGCAGAGGGGGAAGTGTATAGCTTTACATTTCTCTCACAGGTAAAAATTAGAGCACAAATAAAAGCTGACAGTCATAGAAAGAGTACATATGATTTTTAGTGTATACAAAAAGTTGGAGAAATAATCAAGAATGTTAGCCAGAAGGATGTGTATATCAGTTCATGAGCACCATTCTTGTGTGGCAATCTGGCAGTGCATTTTAACTAAAGAGTGAGCACCAGTTCTTTGTAAGCGTAGCAACAGCTGTTTTCCCTTTTTAGGACTGTCAGTATTAAACATTTCTTGTTATATATACACCTAGATATGTAATTAACATTCTATATGTGAACTATGCTTAGTCAGTAAATGTTTACTTCCAATGTATCCAAGATCTTGAAGTCTCTATTACTCTTAAGACAACACAAATACAGCAGGTACAGAACATGATATTTCATGTGTATTCACATGTAGATATAATAAGAGTAGATTGTTTGATAGGCACAAATTAGAAATGAATATTGTGATCCTTATGTCTATCCAGATTAAAAAATA